GCGCAATTGACAGATGAAACAGCACAGTGTCGAACAGCAAAAAATACCCTGGTCAGGAAGGGGGGGGGGGGGGGTGTCAATCCTCAGGAGGACAAGTGGTTACAGTGTATTTATAGCCTAAACTTTTGTTTTGGATAGGGAGGGATTAGAGCGCCAATCTCCTTTTACAGAAGTTCTGTTGGATAAATTGCTTTCCTGTCTGATAAAAAAAAGTTGTCCACAGGACAGGAAGTGAGAGGAAATCTCTATTACTGAGCCCCAGAGACCAGTAAAACCTGACAGGGGTTCTAACATTTCCCATTTCTATACTGAACTTAAAAATAAAAGGTTTTGGGTAATCAGAACAAAATCAGGCTGAAGCCATCTACATAATGTCCTCACTAGGACCTGACCCTGGAGATGTCTAGGTTCACATGACATGGTCTCTGTACTCCACACATTACAGCGGGAACCTTACAGCCCCGCACTGATCTGTCTATACACTGCACAGACCACGATTACTCTTCTCTGTATGAGCTATCCCATCCCACACAGGATCCAGGATCTGTCACATTGTCTACAACCCCGACACTGTCCTCACCATAGGAAGAAGGGGAGGCTGGGACCCCTGTGAAGGTGACACCACACTGGATATATCATCAGAGGGAACGTCACCAACACTGACCAGGAGTGGTACCTGAGGGATCTGTGTGGTGATATGGCATGGTGCAGCTGCTCATGTAAGGTGGGGACCCCAATATGTTGGCATTGAGAACACCTCACCCCACAGTCCCACCACGGAGGACACCTCGCCCCACAGTCCCACCACGGAGGACACCTCGCCCCACAGTCCCAGCTCGTCTGCACGGAGGACACCTCGCCCCACAGTCCCAGCACGGAGGACACCTCGCCCCACAGTCCCAGCACGTCTGCACGGAGAACACCTCGCCCCACAGTCCCACCACGTCTGCACGGAGGACACCTCGCCCCACAGTCCCACCACGTCTGCACGGAGGACACCTCGCCCCACAGTCCCACCACGTCTGCACGGAGGACACCTCGCCCCACAGTCCCACCCACGTCTGCACGGAGGACACCTCGCCCCACAGTCCCACCACGTCTGCACGGAGGACACCTCGCCCCACAGTCCCACCACGTCTGCACGGAGGACACCTCGCCCCACAGTCCCACCACGTCTGCACGGAGGACACCTCGCCCCACAGTCCCACCACGTCTGCACGGAGGACACCTCGCCCCACAGTCCCACCACGTCTGCACGGAGGACACCTCGCCCCACAGCCCCACCACGTCTGCACGGAGGACACCTCGCCCCACAGCCCCACCACGTCTGCACGGAGGACACCTCGCCCCACAGCCCCACCACGTCTGCACGGAGGACACCTCACAGCCCCACCACGTCTGCACGGAGGACACCTCACAGCCCCACCACGTCTGCACGGAGGACACCTCACAGCCCCACCACGTCTGCACGGAGGACACCTCACAGCCCCACCACGTCTGCACGGAGGACACCTCACAGCCCCACCACGTCTGCACGGAGGACACCTCACAGCCCCACCACGTCTGCACGGAGGACACCTCACAGCCCCACCATGTCTGCATGGAGGACACCTCACAGCCCCATCACGTCTGCATGGAGGACACCTCACAGCCCCATCACGTCCGCATGGAGGACACCTCACAGCCCCATCACGTCCGCATGGAGGACACCTCACCCCACAGTTCCAGCATGTCTGCATGGAGGACACCTCACAACCCCATCAAGTCCACATGGAGGACAACTCACTCCACAGTCCCAGCTTGTCTGCATGGAGGTCACCTCACAGCCTCATCACGTCTACATGGAGGACACCTCACCCCACAGCATGTCTGCATGGAGGACACCTCACAACCCCATCAAGTCCACATGGAGGACAACTCACTCCACAGTCCCAGCTTGTCTGCATGGAGGTCACCTCACAGCCTCATCACGTCTACATGGAGGACACCTCACCCCACAGCATGTCTGCATGGAGGACACCTCACAACCCCATCAAGTCCACATGGAGGACAACTCACTCCACAGTCCCAGCTTGTCTGCATGGAGGTCACCTCACAGCCCCATCACGTCTACATGGAGGACACCTCACCCCACAGCATGTCTGCATGGAGGACGCCACAGCCCCATCACGTCTACATGGAGGACACCTCACCCCACAGCCCCAGCATGTCTGCATGGAGGACACCTCACAGCCCCATCACGTCTACATGGAGGACACCTCACCTCACAGCAAACTTCTGTCCCCGGTCCTCCCCTCTCAGGCGGGAATCCGGCCCTGGTTACCTGCAGGAGGCCTGCTCGCTCTCCCCCTCTCCGGTCGCTCTCCTCCTCCTCCTCCTCCCGCAGGCTCCGTTACTTGGGCAGCTGTGTCTGGGTGGGCTGGGGCCGCGCAGTCTCCCTGGGGAGTAAGAAGAGGAGGGCAGATGGAGGCGGAGGTTCAGTCCGCTACAGGAGGATGGAGGGACACAATATGGCTGCCCGGCCCCTCCTGCCGCCTCATCAGCCGGGGACACCACAGAAGAGCCTCTCCCTCCTCCCCCCGATATACTAACTTCGTGTACCGGGAACTCTATACCGGCCTGTGTATGTGTCATAGACCGGCCATATGTGATAGTGAGAGCAACAAGTGTGAGCTGTCCGAGCACCTCCTCCTCATACACCGAGTGTGAAGTACCACAGACACCCGACTACACCGTACATTATATATGGAGACACCACATCTCTCCGTATATATCATGTCCGCTCACTCAGCCCCCAGCTCTCCATATATACAGAGAAATGTGTCCATAAGTACATTCTAGGAAGGAACCTGTTACCAAACGCTTCTTCAACCAAGACAATGATAAAAGATGGAAACACGACATGATTCACAGGTGTGAAAGTGACCACGTTTCACGGTGAAAGCAGAATGGATGTAACATTCCTCTGCTTTCGCTGTGTGATGAGACACCTAGCCAACAGGTGGAAGCCTTGCTTTTATCATTCACTGCCTGCGCTGTTAGTAATACAGAGTCCATCTATTTCAACCATAAAAAAGGAGGGGGGGGACAATCCTATACCCACAGTGGATCCAGAGGAAGACAAAAACCCCCCAGCAAAGCATGGTCCAATCTGCTCCTGCTGGGAAAAAAATTCCTTCCTGATCCCCCGAGAGGCAATTGCATATTCCCTGGATCAACTTTACCTATAAATCTTATATCCAGTTATATTCTGTGTATACAAGAAAGAATCCAGGCCTTTTTTAACCAGTTCCTGACCGCGCTATAGCCGAAAGACAGCTACAGCACGGCCAGGTAGGTCTGGGAGGGCGTCCATGGAAGTCCACCCACAATCAGGCCCCCCACGCACAATCTGTGATCGCTGTGTTCTTCGGACACAGCTGATCACATGGCTACGGAACAGGCCAATCAAAGCCGCTTTTACCATGTGATCAGCTGTGTCCAATCACCATGTCCAATCACAGCTGATCACCGGTTAAATGGGAAATGCTGGTTATCGGCAGTCCACTCCTCACACTGACAGCGCGTGAGGAGAGCTGGTAAGTGGCATTTCGCAGGGGGACATCTACACTGATCAGCAGAGCACTGTTCATCAGTGTCCTGGTGATCAGTGTAACCCCATCTGTGCTGGCAATCAGTGCCCATCAGTTAATCAGTACCGCCTAACAGTGCATAACAGTGCCGTCTATCAATGCCCATCAGTGCCGTCTATAACTGCCCATCAGTGCCGCCTAACAGTGCTCATCAGTGCCACCTAACAGTGCCCATCAGTGCCACCTAACAGTGCCCTTCAGCGCTGCCTATCAGTGCAGCCTCATCAGTGCAACCTATCAGTGCCCATCAGTGACTCCTCATCAGTGCCTATCAGTACAGCCTATCAGTGCCCATCAGTAAAGGAGAAAAATTACTTATTTACAAAACTTTATAACAGAAACTAAGAAAAACTTTTTAGTTTTTTTCAAAATTTTTGGTCTTTTTTTAGCAAAATATAAAAACCCCCAGTGGTGATCAAATACCACCAAAAGAAAGCTCTATTTGTCTAAAAAAAAATGATAAAAAAATAGTTTGGGTACAGTGTTGCATGACAGGGCAATTGTCATTCAAAGTATGAGAGCGCTGAAAGCTGAAAATTGGTCTGAGCATGAAGGGGGTAAAAGTGCCCGGTAGGCAAGTTGTTAAAGCAATCCACTGAGCTGGCCAGAACCAATTCTTGAGGGAGTCTATTCCACATTTTCACAGCTATTACTGTGAAGAACCCTTTCAGTATTAAGAGATTACATTTTTTTTCCTCCAGACGTAAAGAGTGCCCCCTTGTCCTCTGTGATGACCTCAGGGTGAATAGCTCTACACCAAGTTCACTATATGAACCACTGATGTATTTATACATGTTGATCATATCCCCCTTAATCTCCTCTTCTGAAGAGAGAATAAATTCAGTTCCTTTAACCTTTCCTCATAGCTGAGCTCCTCCATGCCTCTTATCAGTTTAGTTGCCCTTCTCTGTACTTTCTCCAGTTCCCCAATGTTCTTTTTGTGAATTGGCGCCCAAAACTGAACTGCATATTCCAGATGAGGTCTTACTAATGATTTGTACAGGGGTAATATGATATCTCTCTCTGGAGTCTATACCTCTTTTAATACAAGAGATGATTTTGCTCGCTTTAGAATCATGGATCATCTGGAGCTGTGTCAATATCATGCCCGTTATGGACAAGAGTTCCCCCATGCTCCTTTGTATACACAGAGCTGAAGAAGGTATTTAATACAATTTCCTTCTCTTTGTCCCCAGTCACCCACTCTAGATTATTTTGTAAAGGGCCTACATGCTCCGACCGGACCTGACCTTTTTACTATTAATATATTTGACAAATTTTGGGGGGGGTTTGTCCTTCTCTCTTTTGCAATCTGTAGCTTGTTTTGTATTTCTGCGGCCTTTATTTCCTTTTGTACATATTCTGTTATATTCCTTGTAACAATTAAATGATGATAGTGTGCCTTGAATTTTTTTTTATTAAAGCTCTTTTCTTATTATCTATAGCTTTTTTAACTTTGGCAAAAAGCCACATAGGTGTAAGGGAATCCCGGTGAGACGATTGGCAAATAGAAGTGTGCATGCGCAAAGAAATGCACGATCATGCACACGGTGAAGATTGGCGCCAGACGGACTATTTAAAAGGTGCCTCTGCCTGTGCTGAGTGCTGACTGGTCTTCAGCTGTTCCCCGTTTCCTGATCATTCCTGTGTGATTTCCTTGTTGCTGACCCGGCTTGTTCCTGACCTGACTCTTGATTCCTCTCCTGCTTGATACTCGTTCCTGACCTGACTCTTGATTCCTCTCCTGCTTGATACTCGTTCCTGACCTGACTCTGATTACTCTCCTGCTTGATACTTGTTCCTGACTTCGGCTCTGCTCCTGACTTTGGCTTTCTTATGAATTGGTACGTCGCTGTCCGCCCGTTCATGACCCCGGCTATTCCTATGACATTGCTCCTGTCTTCCATCCCAGCTTCCTGCCTTGCTCTGGTGCACACCTGGCGACCCACCATACCAGCTCTGCATATCACTACTGTTCCTGAATCAGAGGTTCATCAGTCTTCCAAAGTCTGCAGCTGCAAGAGCTGCAAACAACATCTGCTGGCACTCATGTCCCCCTGGTCCCTAGACACTCTCTGTTCCACTTCCAGTGGGGTCAGGGCTAGTGACACAAGTGAGGCCGACCTCGTCATTTCAGTCTCCAATCAGGTATGTGACAATAGGTTTTATTTTTATCCTTTTAAACTTGTTGCCCTTGGGAATAAATTTTGCAGTGTGTTCACATACAGTAATTTTGAAGAACTCCCATTTCTGTGTTGTGTTCATCGATGCCAATATTCCCTCCCAGTTTAAGTCTTGGAGAGCAGCCCTCATCCTTGGAAAATTTGATCTTTTAAAGTTGAGTGTTTTTCTCTTTCCAGTATGTGCTTGTTGTTTACAGCGAACGTTAAGGCCTCATTCACACCATACATGCAGAAAAAAACTGATGGAAACTGACGTGCAGATTTCACTTATAGTGACACCAGTTTTTATGTGTGCCTCAATGAGTTTTATACACGTTGCAGATTCCAGCTTTGAATAATAATAGCCCAGTCATGTGAAGAATGAAGCCAAGATTCAGCAATATCAAATAAATCATAGTTCTCTTTATGCACCAAAGCTTCCAACTCACTTTTGCTTGGCACCAATTTTGCTTTAATTCAGTGTCCCATTTTGCACATTCATTTTGCATATTTTTTTTAGGTACAAAGAGTACCATTTCCAATGGTACTGTTTGTACCTTGGGAACCTTCATATCCCCTGCCATAGCCCTCCCCCTATCTTTCCCCATTCCACTCACCAATATGTACTGACCCCTTTCTGACCCATTATAATCTAATTCTCCCTCCCCACTCAATCATAGCCTAAATACTCCTCCAGCCTTCCCATAAACCTCTCCTCCAGCACAGCAGACCCCCCTTCCATTTAGGTGCAAACCATCTTTAGAATATAGGTTGCACCGCAATGAAAAATCAGCCCAGTGCTCTAGAAACCCAAATCCTTCCCTCTTATACCAAAATTTTAGCCATGCATTCATTTCTCTAATCTCCCCCTGTTTTTCCTATGTTGCACATGGCACAGGCAATATTTCAGAGAATATCACCTTGGAGGTCCTTCCCTTCAACTTGCAGCCTAGTTATTTAAATTGATTCTTAAGGAGACCCCACCTTCCATGTATTCTGTCACTGGTTCCAAGACAGCTGGGTCATGCCCAGACCCTCCCAGTAATTTATTGACCTGGTCCACTACACTCTGAACCCTGGCACCAGGGAGACAGCAAACCATTTGGATGGGGTAATCCTGTCGACAAATGATTCTATCAGTCCTTCTGATTATAGAATTCCCTATCACTGCCAACTGTCTAGGCCTTCCTGTACTACCATCACCACCCATACTAGATGGGCTGCTGTTCCAGCTGTTAAGGATAGCAGAGACATCTAGGGCTGCCACCTCTGAGCTTGCCACCCCCACATATTCACCAACTTGGCAAATCTGTAAGGGTGCTCAAACCCAGAGCTGGCCTCTTTTCTGTGAGCCCCTACCACTCTCTCTGACTGCAGTAACACATCTTTCTACTTGATAATCCTGACTTACCTCTCCACATCTACCACATTAACCACTTTCTCACTTACTGAGATTCAAAGAAGGCGCATTGTGGGTGCCCGCTTAGCTGGCGCCTCAAGTTGCCAATTTATTTGCCATGTTGTGAGGTACGGAGTGGAGAAAATTGAGCTTGAGGCCTGAACATGGACATTGTGGGAAAGAAAGCCAGGAGGTTTAAGGACATTTTTCATTTGTGTTCTAGAGATGGTGGAAACCCTGCTAATGTTTTGTGGAACTCTTACTCTCTTTTAAAATATAAGTGGGCTAACAAGCCCTAAACCAGGATCACCTGGCTGGACTGAACTGATTGGTAAGCACCATACCCACGCATCTCTGCCCACGTTTGTGCAAGCAAGCAAAAAGTGCACTAAAACAAATTACATACTTTCTTAATGGCACCTGGAATGTGTGTAGCATTCGCTCGTCTTGTCACTCATTTTCCATGTGAAAAATGCAAAACACACGCAGTGCCAAAATTTGGTACACAAGCTTGTTTGGTGCATTTTGGAGTGGAGTGGAGGGAAGTCCATTTAAATGAATGGTACTGCTCTAAAAAGTACGAAAACCGTGACGCAGGGCTTAAAAGAGAAGTATGGGTTTGCAAAAAACAAACATTCATACACACTTAGCTGGATGCAGCACTGATGCATACTGCATCTGTTCCCCACTGGAATTAAGACCAAGAACTGAATGATAAGACCGAGAAATGAGCAGAGAACTGGTAACTGTCAGTCGCTGGCTCACTGCTCTGCTTCTTCATCACTCACTGGAGCGTTGGGCTGTGCAGGGGGCAGGAGTGGCTGGCTCAGGATCTTAGTGGCTCGCTGTAGGGCTGAGCCAGCTGCCAGTCTAGGCATCTTGGTGGATTCTGGCTGAAAAGTCAGGATCCCTCCAGAGCCTTGACCGGCTGAGTGATGTCAGCCAACAACAGACTTTAGCCAGGAGAAGGAGAGCTTTAGCCCTACTTCTCCTTTAACCACTTGCTGCCTGCCCACAGTACTTGTACACTACAGGCACCCTAATATACTGATACTGATATGCATAGCATCACAATAGTAAATAGTAAAATGAAAGCCATTACTGTTATAAAGCAACAATAGTGTAATAATAAAAACCCCTCAACACCCCCCGCCCACCCCTTCTAGACTACTACAGTGTCGTTATGGTGACACTGAACTATTCTAATAATGTAAAAAATATAGTAAAAAAGAAAACAAAATTTTAAAAATGAATTAAAAGTTATTTATTTATTTTTGTTACATAATGTCACCAGTCAGTATCCCTGATCACCACTACACCAGTCATATGATGACGCTGTACTGCACTGGTTACAGCATGAAAAAAATTGTGAAAATAAACTAATTTAATTTAATTTTCTTCGTTTTGCATAAAATTGTGAAAAAAATTAGAACTTCAAAAAACTCAAAATACTAAATTCTACTTTCCAAAAAGGGGTAATTTGGGTGATATTTGTACTGTCCTGGCATTTTAGGGCCATCAGTACATCAGGACTGATCAATACTCAAATACATATACCATAGTTTGTAGATGCTACAACTTTCACACAGGGTAATTAATATACACTGATTTGGGTTATTTTTACCGAAGAAATGTAGCAGAATACATTTCAGGACTAAATTTATGAAGAAAGATTATTTATTTGCAAAATTGTGTAACAGAAATTAAGAAAAACATGTTTTTTTTCAAAATTGTTGGTATTTTTTTTTCATTTATATAATAACATAAAAATCCAGTGGTGATTCCATACCACCAAAAGAAAGCTCTATTTGTGTGAAAAAATGAAAGATTTCATATGGGTACAGTTTTGCATGACCGTGCAATTGCTAGTTAAAATAGCGCAGTGCTCAATAGCAAGAAATGCACTGGTCATGAAGGGGTTAAAACCTTCTGGAGGTCAAGTGGTTAAAGAAGGGTTAGAACTGTTGTCTTTTTTAGTTTTTTTTTGTTGTTGTTTTTTTTCTGTGTCCCATGGAAAAACTTCCTATGCAGAAAAGACAGCAGAACAGAAGTGAGGGGAAATGTACTCCTAAACAGATGTTAACAAAATAGGTGTCCCCATTGGAAGATTTCCCCTTGCCTCCTGTTTCAGTGATTACTGTAAAGTTTTGTATTCCCATTATTCTTGTCCTTGTGACACAGGCAGCAATAAAACATATGATTTCATATTTCAAGTAATTTATATATTATATATACAACCAAAACTTTGTCATTTTAAAAAGTGTAGTTAATAGTTTAAAAATGTTGGGTTTATTTTAAACATCTGTGTCCTATTCAAGATATTTCCCTTCCTGTCCTGTAGACACAACAGGAAATCCCCACTTAAGCTGGCCATAGATCAAATCTTGGCCAGTCCTTGCTGAACCAGCCAAGATTCAATCCATCTATGGGTAGGCTGATTGTACCATCCATTGATCGATTTGGGTTCAACTAATCTGTTGGATTTGTAGCATGAGATTACTGCCAGTGGCTAATGCCGTTATGAGTAATCATTGCGCTCTGCCAGCCAGGAAGGCTTCCCACACCAACACTCACTGTGTTAATGGGAGAACCAAGCATTTTCTTTCCTTACACCATTTTTGGAAGGAAAGAAAATCAATTCATCTATCGCTTTACTTAGCTGTCATTAGAACAAATGTCCCTATTGGAAGACTTCACTTCTATTCCTGTTCAGATGACAACTCTAGATTCTGGATTTTCCCTCACTTATTCCCAAAGACAATGGCAGCCTAACAAAGGCTCTAACCCTTTACCACTCCATTAAAAAACTGGTTTTAGATACATATGACTAGATGCCATCACATCCCTGTACAAGAGCCATCAGGAGTCCCCCTTCCCCCTTTCTCACAACTATACTACTGTGCCATGTGAACTTGACAAATTTTAAACAGTATATTAGTCTATCTAAGGGCTCGTTCACACCATTGTGCAAAGACCTCAGTTTTTCTGCATGCATTCTGCAAGGGCACAACAAAATCAGTTGTTCTCTATGTGCCCTGTTCACACCACAACACTAGTATCATGCACAGGAATTTGCAATGTGTATAAAACTCATTGAAACACACATGAAAACTGATGTCTCTGCAACTGAAATCTCCACGTCAGTTTCCATCGGTTTTTCTTCATTCATTCTTCATCAGACCAAGCCACCTTTTTTCTATTGCTCCGTGGTCCATTTCTGATGCTCACATGCCCATTGTAGACAATTCTCGCTGCGGGTCAGCACAGACACTCTGACCTGTCTGCAGCTATGGAGGCTCATACACAACAAACTGCTAATGCACTGTGTCTTCTGATGCCTTTCTATTGGAACCAGCATTAACTTTTTCAGCAATTTGTGCTACAGTAGCTCTTCATTTGGACTGGACTACATGAGCCAGCCTTCGCTCCCAGGTACATCAATGGGCCTTGGCCATCCGTAACCTTGTCGCCAGTTTGCTGGTTTTCCTTCCTTGAAAGCTTTTGGTTGGTCCTGCCCACTGCAGACTGGGAACATCCCACAAAAGCTGCAGTTTGGGAGTTGCTCTGACACAGTCATCTAGCCCATTACAATTTGGCCCTTGTCAAAGCTGCTCAAATACTTACACTTTTTCTGCTTTTAACACATCAACTTCAGGGACAACATGTTCACTTGTTGCCTAATATATCCCACCCACTTTCAGATGCCATTGTGCAGAGATAATCCATGTTATTCACTTTACCTGTCGGTGATCATAATGTTATGTCTGATTGGTGTATAAAAAAACAAATTTATTAGTATATTTAATTTAAAAGACGAAAGGTATCAAA